CGGGCATATTACCATTAGCTTCCTCAGTTCCAAGTTCAAGGACTCTTCCTTTGCCTCTGTAACTTGTTACCTAAGCTCATTTCTTCTAGAAATTACTACTTCTACTTCTGTGATTCTACAAATAAATGTTCTCCTATACTTTGGGTCTTGGCTCTGAATTCTTTCCTAGCCAAACTCAAGTACCGAGGTTACTGAACCCAAGTCCGGTCTGACTCCACCGGTCTAACACCCAGTGCCGTTCCTGCTGCCTACAACCTAAGGAGCTGTGTTGTTGGCTATTTAATCCCATGTTGCCAAAAAAACTATTCTGAATTAGTTTGGCCTGGTAGTGAAATGCATTTTTATGAGACACTGTCTCAGTGGGGCAGAGAGCTATTGGTCTGCTAGCAGAACCCCATCATGACTCAGGTTCTGGGCAGGACTGTGCCATTCCTTTAAAGGGCTCTCTGAATACAGCCATTTGTAGTTTGTAGTAACATTTCAGAGGGTGGGATCAGTGAAACCAAGTCACCGTCAACACGGTGACTTTCTCCCATTACAGTAACTTCTAACCAAATTCTACCTGCCTTTTCATCTCAGTCATAAAGTATGGGCATAGTGTTCATAATGACACTGAATTTCAACCTTTTAATCCCCACTCATTAAGAATTAGATCACTTCCCCTTAAGCCCTGCTTTTTCATTCTTGGCTATAAACACGGTTTTGGAAATGACAATGTATGTACAATCTGAATTTTTTTTTTTTTTAAATATATCTTTATTGATTTCAGAGAGAGGAAAGGAGAAGGAGAGAGGGAGATAGAAACATCAATGATGAGAGAGTCATTGATCGAGCCCGCAACCCGGGCATGTGCCCTGACCAGGAATCGAACCCTGATCTCCTGGATCCCAGGTTGATGCTCAACCGCTGAGCCACGCCCGGCCGGGCTACAATCTGAATTAATGGCCGAATTTCCACCTTCCCATGCCCATGGGAGTGAGATAAAAGAACAGAGAAAGGCGGGGAAGAAAGAATGATGGAAGTGTTTATTGAGACTGAAATGGAACATTGTTCTCTTTGATGAGTTAACAGCACAGGGTGTTAAGAGGTCAGTTACAAACGGACTCCAAAATAAGGATGACCTGCAGCTCATGAACAGCTCTGCCAGCTCCGGTGCCTCAAACCAGAGAAACCTGCCCATGGGGTAGAACCATTCAGCCCAAGATAAATTACCATTCAGCTGCATTATATTTAGATTAACTTTCTATAAACAATACCACTCTTTGCATTTTAAAACTCACATTGAATTACTGGTTTATATTTATGGTTTTCAAACGACAATTGAGTTACTAGTTTCTTGTAGACTTCAGGTGCAGGTGGTCAATACTGAGCATTTACTTACTTTTCCATGCTCTTTGGCACAATTTCAGGTTTCTTAAACAGGAAAGCACAGGCTTAAATGGGCTACTCAATACTGCAGAAGCACAAGTATTTTGGATCTCAGTGTAAATGCAAGTTTATGTTAAGCATTATTTACAAGATGTGAGCTGAAGCACAGACTTTAATAATATATCTTCATAAATTAGCAGAATGGCAAATGATGGATTTTAATGAGTAGGGCCAAGATCACTAGAAGACTAGTCGGTTAGAAGAATCCTCCCTGGAGGAAGAGGCAAGTGCCACACAAATGCAGGATTTCCCTGAACCACTGACCCCAACGTCTCATGTTGTGGGATTTACTCTGCAAGCATCCAGGGCAGGGATAGTGTGTTTGTGATCAATGTGGCTTGTTCAACCATCAAATTCGTACTGAAATACAATTTAGCTGGTAGTCTGCCACTGTTGCTTGGGCCCTGATGGGTATAAAAGGGCAAAGTACTGTCATTTTTAAGTGGGTATAACTGACCTTGGAAGAATGAAGTCTTCGAGTTGGATAAAAACACACCCAGCCTTATGTGAGTGACACCTTTGAATATAACCTTACATAGAGCTGATATGATTCCCCCCATCAGGAGAATTTCTAAGTTGTAGTGAATGGCTATGCCACCTCAGAGTATCACCGTAATACATGTCTGCTTTGGGGCTGCTACACAGACTGCTCCTGAGAGAGGAGTTCTGATAAGCCCCAAAGTAGATCTGGATTGGAACCATAGTTATTATTCAAGTATAAGGAGAGCTCTTTATTTCACATTGACAGTTCAATTCTGATCTCTGTCTGGCAAATTATATGAAAATAATATATACATATATATATCTAGCTCTACACTGAACACCGGGTTAATAGTTACCAGCGTCCCAATACAGTACATTGAAAAGAGAATCTCCCTTCCCCCCAAACCTGACACCCATCTTAAAACTGGTTTTGCAGAACTGTGCTGGTCTGTTTTCTTTGAAAGCAGTTTCTTTGAAATTGGCTGGAGATGAGTTCAAAATGGACAATTTGGCACATTAACTGGGGGAGGCGGGTGGTTCAGATGCATTATAATCTATAAAAATGTGAGACCTCAAAGGAAACACATGCCAATAGAAAGCCTGAGTAAAAAATTTGTAGTCAATGACAGAGTATTTTTTTAAAAACCCCAAGCACTGGTCTGTGCATGAAAAAGCAATTTTGCTTTCACATCCGTTACCTAATTCCAGAAGCTGCTACATTACATACTTCCAAGCTTTGTTTCCTGTAGAATTTTAAAACTCCAGATAATATATCTTTCCTTTTAATTAATTTCCTTTTCTCTTACCCCACCCCCAAATCTCAGGACCTAGAGAGCAAAAGCTCTGAATCCAAATATAGAAAGAATCTGGAGGTCTGTGTATCAGGTCAAATGTACAACTGGCCATTAGTGTTTTTCTTTTTCTTAATGTTTGAATTTGCTAAGAGATGTCCTTCATCATTCCCAGTCATCTGAAGCCCAGGGCACTAGAACTGTGAGGTTTGGGTGAACGAGATGGCATCAGATTTGTCAATGGCAAAGCCTCCGTTGACATAGGACTTCTTGGCGTCTGAGTCTTCATTATCGAGTGCCGTGGTTTCCACAGCAAAGGGGTTCCTGAAGTTGACTTCAGATGGAACACTCATCTGCTCCAGCTCCTTCTTAGAGAGCTTCTCCACGATGCCTGTCCCAAACGCGTCACCGAGGACATTCACCATGGTCCTGAACCGGTCCCTGGGGAAGGGAGAGGGTGAGTCAGACAGGAGGCCCAGATTTCATTTCCCTCACCATTGGGGAAAAGAAAGGGACTGAAGTGTGGAGCTGTTAAGCAAATGCAGAAAGTGCTGCCCTCATGGCTGGCTGACCTCACAGGCCTGAGGCAGAAGATGGTTAATAAAGGGACAGAATAAGCAAACTGGCTCCCCCAGGCCTGCGCTCCCAACAAGTCGCAGAGACTCCCCTAAATTCAGCACCAGTCTCCCTAAATTTCCTCTTTTCTTCCCAAAGAAAAGGGAACACTATGCACAGATTATTTTGGGGGGGAAGCTGAGGAAGAGTCAAAACTCAGTAAGTCTTTCACCCGTAACCTCTGTCTTGTGAGCATTTCTGGGCTCTCTTGGCTACGCTGAGAGAACCTGGATGTTTTGTGGGTGTCATATGTGCCGTGTGAGTGTCCAAGTCTTCCTGTGTGTTTGTGTGTGTCTGGTGTACTTGTTTCTTTACCACACTAGGTCACTCCATGAATAAGCCAGCAGGACAGCACAGAGTGCAGGGTCAGAAAACACAGGTTTGCCTGGGAATGGCTTTCTCCTTGAGGCACCCCAGCTAGTCTTAACTCCCACACAGCCTGAGAAAACGCCAGCAGAGCTTACACATGTCTACTCTGGATGCCCTTCTGTTATATAGAACCAGGCTATGGACTGAACTGGACCCTAGTATGGACCAGCTAGTGTCTTTTTATCCCACGGATCAGACTTAACCCTTGACTTCTCTGGGTATCTTGGAAGTGAAGGTCACTGATTCCAGGAAGCACCAGGGAAAGGAGAGATGTGCAAACCCACCAACACCATTAGAAAGAAAAATCGAAGCATTAGTCTCAGTGGTAGGCTACTTTTGCAAGAAAGGTGCCACCTCAGTTGGGCCTTGTAGAACCAAGGTGCTGCTAAGGGGACCCCACACGGCTCAGCTTCCCAGGTGCAGGAATTTCTGCTTCGCTTTCCTCCATCTCAGCTGCCACTTGCAAACTACATAGCACTGGACTCCCCAGTGAGGCCAGGCTGGTTCTGGGTGAAGGCTTACTAAGGAGCTACGCTTACCCCTGACGGCCAGGAGACAGAGCCAGACCTAGATGCCGGAAGATGAATGCACAATGTGGGTATCAACCAAGGATAGAGCTGGGAACTAGGCTCATTCTAACTTTAACCTTGGGGGATACAAAAGACACGATCTTACCCTTAACCTGAACATACCACAAATGCCCTGCTGTGTTCCTTGGCCGTGTGTGTGTGTATGTGTGTGTGTGTGTGAGAGAGAGAGAGAGAGAGAGAAGGAGAGAGGGAGGGAGGGAGGGAGGGAGGGAGAATTGTTGGTTGAGGCCTGAATGGTCTAACTCATTCTAGTTATAATAAGACTTGCCTTTTATTGAGCATTACTGCCTGCCAGACACTGTTTTAGACACTCCTCCCGTATTAGCTCATTCAGTCCTTACACCAACCCAATGAGATAGACGGAATCTTTCCCATTTTACAGATAATGCAGCTGGACCTCAGACAGGTTAAGGAACTGAAGGTCAAAAGCCAGTGAATGGGGATTTAAACCTGACAGTCTTACTGCAAAGCCTCTGCTCGTGCCCCTGCCCTGATGGTCTGATGCTTGGGAAGACAGGCTGATTTTGAACCAGGTGGTCTGTTCGAACTTGTGCTGCTGACCCGGGGCTGGGGTAGGCCAGGGCGGCCTATGGGGCGGCCTATGGGGTTTGGAATGTCTGGGGCCTTGCCTACCTTCTTCACCTTATTGCTCTGTGTTTATCTCACCCAGTACCTAGCTCCTGACCTTGAGTACTACTAGGTATAATGAGCTAGTAGAGATCACTGGCTTTTAAAAGTCATTGCTTGAAGTTATGAGGAGTTAATTTTTAAGCACATTATCAGATGGCCTGGTCAGACGGAAATGAAAGCAGCAACAGATGGCTCATTAGGGCAATCTGAAGAGAGAATGATGACAGATTGCAGATTCTGCACGGCTGGGAAGTCCGCCTTCCCATCCGGCCGAGGCAGCGCCTTTATTCCAACTCACAGGAACCAGTCGACAGCGATGATCAGGGTGACATCCTCAGTGGGCAGGCCCACGGCACTCAGCACGATCACCATGGTCACCAGGCCGGCCTGGGGCACACCGGCAGCTCCGATGCTGGCAGCTGTCGCCGTGACACTGTAGCCGAAACACACCAGCATGAAAGGGGTTAGACACCCATTTCTTCCTTCAGAGCCCCTGGCCCGAAATGGTTAGTCCCCACGGCTGTTACCGCTGTGTGCCCAAAGTGGCCAGTGAGAATCTGTTCTCTGCTGAGCACCAGCTCTGCCTTATTAAAGGGCTGTGGGAGACGGAGGGGAGCGTGATCTCTTCCAGGGGAGATACTCTAATGTAAGGACTGCATGACTGGCACACGAATGAGCAAGAGAGATATTCAAGAGGAAGGCAACTATGTATTTACCAACTGGGGTTTTTATTTTATGGAAGACTATCTACCCATTCACCCTACACAAATGACAAATGCCTCTCTGCCTGCTTTCTTTCTCCCTTCTTCTGTCTACTCACCCATCAATCATTTACTAATGAGCATCTAATATGTTAGGGATTTGTTTCCTTGAAGGATAGGGGGATAGTGGTAGGATGGATGGGCGAGGGCATTTTAGGTGAAGGTAAAACCTGCGGTGTTCAAGCAGGTTTTATTCATTTTCTCGATATCACAAGACTCTTGACCTCTCTGGTGGATGCCCTTTAGGGCACTGAATTGAGAAATAGCTGTGACTCCTGTCCAAGGTATGAACATTTATTCCTGACTGGTCCTTTTTGCCAGCGTATGTACTTTGTGCAAACAAAAAAAGATCTGGAATCCAGGAGAGGCAGTCATGTGAACTCCATTACTATGTATTTAAAAAGATCCTTTTTGGGCATATAAAATGTGGCACTAGGAATTTTTCTCTTTGGAATGTGCAGTTAATCATCAGCAACTTCCTTATTTAAATCTGATCATTTTGGAGGAAACAAGGGCTCACCATGCACTGAAAAGTCCCTTGATTTGAGTCAGCGTGAGGGGGACGGACACCCACTACATTTTCTGGAGACATGTCCTCGCCCTGGGCCAAAGCCTGACCTGCCTCTATGATGCCTCTGAGCTGAAAGGTGAAGATGCAGAAACTGCCATTTCAAACCAGAAGAATCCCTGATTCTAGCCACAAATCCATGTTCTTGTGAGCTCATAAAGCCTGAGAGTTCTTACGAAGCTGGCTGTAGTGCCCACTCATCTGCCTAGTGATGGGTCACGGGTAGTGTTTGAGGGTGTGGTTAAACTCGGGCCAGAGTTCTTTGACAAGTATATGTTTCCTCAGGGGCTGTGGCCATCCAATTTCCAGTAAGTTAGCGATTTCTGGAGCTGTCACAATTGCTCTCACAGTTTGAGGCCTGCATAAACCTTTAGATCTGTCCTGACTTAAGTATTCTTTGTTAAACTCAAGTTTATTTCAATGCTGGTTGAAAAAGTCTAAACTGACTGCACCGATGGGTTTTCTTTGTCAGAAGCAGCATGTGCCCAAGCCCACTGATCCCTCTTGGAACCCCCAACACGTCACTGTTAACCACACGGTCACTACAGCCCAAGGCTGGGCTTGAGACTCAAAATCCATTCAGTTAAATGTCTGCTCTTGATCTTGACCTTGTCTACTGAACTTCAGCTATCTAACTGGCTTTGGTCTGAAATATAAATCTTCAGGTAGGGGGAAAATTTTACTAGCATGTTCTTCGGAAAGTTACTTCTCTGAATCTGTTTCTCACCTGTAAGATGGGACTAATGTTTACTTTGTAGGGCTGCTGTGAAGAATCAATGCGGTAATACACGTAAGGCATCCAGTACAGCAGCTACTTCCGCAGCTGCTGCTATTACTTCTACCACTGCTGCTAATATTATTACTACTACTATAAAAACAACTATGTTACTATTGCTGCTACTTTTCCTCTAAGCTCTTTCTGAGCCCAAAATTCTATAATTATCTTTCATTATAAGAAAATGTATCCTGCCGTAGCCTGTGTGGCTCAGTTGGTTGAGTGTTGTCCCATGAACAAAAGGACGCCAATTCAACTGCCTGTCAGGGTACATGCCCAGGTTGTGGGTTCAATCCCTGGTCAGGGTGCATACAGGAGGCAACCGATTGATGTTTCTCTCTTATATCAATTTTTCTCTCTCCCTCTCCCTTCCTCTCTCTCTAAAATCAATAAAAAACATATTAAAAAAAGAGAAGTCCTGGCCAGTGTGGCTTAGTGATTAGATTACTGGCCCATACACTGAAGGGTATTGTGTTCGATTCCTATTCAAGGGCATGTACCTGGGTTGGAGGTTCAATCCCCTGCCCCAGCCNACATGAACCTGGGCCCTGGCTGGTGTGGTTCAGCGGTTAGACCATCAGCCCGTGACTGGAAGGGCAGTGGGTTCAATTTCTGGTCAAGGGCATGTACCTGGGTTGCAGGTTCGATCCCCACCGCAATCAGGGTGAGTTCAGGAGGCAGCCAATCAATATGCCTCTCTCACATTGACGTTTCTCTCCCTCTCCCCCCTTCCTCCCTTCCGCTGTCTAAAAAAAATCAATGGAAAAAATATCCTCAGGTGAGGATTCACAAACCAACCAAAAAAAAGGAACCTACTCTCAATCAGCTGTAACCTTTGATAAATGAATACAGTACTATGACAAAACCACAAAAGAGTATGTTTTGGGTAGATGGTGCCTAAATTTCTTTGATGTCCAGTCCAAAAGGACTATAGAAAGAGATAAACTATAGGTTCAAAAATCTCTTTAACCATCAACCACAGGAGCCAGAACTGTAACTTGTAAAGTTAAAAATAACATTTATTATTTCATTCTTTCCCAGGTAGGATTTTTTATTTTAAGTCAGTGATTACCCCGGACCAGGCAGTTGTAACTGGCTCTGGGCCAGTAGTTACCAGCCAAGTCTGATATAAGAATACACCAGAGCAAGGAGAGAGGTTTTTATGTGAATTGATTATTTAGCTTTGAGTCCCAAAGTGTATTCCTCTAGCAGTTCTTTTTGTTTTTTAAAGGTTACAAAGATCTAGGAAACTTATGCCTGAGGCAGGGAGGGAATTCATCACAAAGTGGCAAACACCCAAAAGAACTGGCATCTCATACAACCATTCCTTGAAAATCAGTTCAGTGCAGATGGGGTTGTACAGCCCAAGGTGCAGGAGGTGGGAAAAGGCACTTGGGAGTCTAAAAGTAACAACAGCTGGAACCACAGTGGCTGTGGAACTTTCTCGGGCATGATTCAAGGTTTCAATTCTAACATACCAGCTGCTGTTCAAGCTGTAGGACTTTACTCAAGCTCTTCTAGCATGGGCTTCTTTAGCTCCTAACACTTTTCACAGATCATGCAGCATCCATGCAGCTGCTCAGCTGATATGCCAAATGGTCTAGTCTGCACTTGTCTTCAGTTAATTTCAAACAAACTGTAATAAATACTTCATGACTTAGGGTTGGGGAAGATTTAAAAATGTACTGTACTAGAACACTCTTAGAAGTTATTTTAAGCCTGGAACTTATGCCTATGCCAAGTGCTGGAGATGCAGGAGTGAATTAACTCTGAAATGTTCAGGTTCAACCTTGAGGAGGCTCAGGAACCCCGTTTTAGTCTTAAACTCCCACTCTAAACTGGACTAAAGTCGCTGATGAACTCTAACCGCAATCCACACTTCAAAGAAGGGCTGACCTGTAGAACTTTCCACAATGACAGGACCCACAATAATGCCACCTGTTTCTCCACTGGTAGAACCTTCTGTGTCTGCTCTGTCCCATTCGTGTGTGTTGCTGATGGTACCATACTGAGCAGAGCTGTTCCAAGAAACAGCTCTGGCAAGATTCACTAATGGCCTTTTCACCATCTATTTGAGTAGATAATTTCAGTCTTCATTTGACGAGGATTCTCTGCAGTATTGGGCTCCACTGACCATTTTGAAAATTTCTCTCCTCTGGGTTTCAACGATACCATAGTCTCACTGCTCTCTTCCTGCCTTTCTTTCCTTCTCACTCTTCCTCTTGGGTTCTTCCCTTCCTGCCTGCTGCTAACACTCGGATTTTCTAGGGCTCAGTCCTTAGACTTTTTCTCTTCTCCATGCACTCTCCCTATGCGATGTCATCCATTCTGAACACTTACTGAATGCTCACTATGGAGGCATCACCCTAAGCATTTTATATGCATCTTCTGACTTAGTTATCACTCTTTGTATAAAACGTAGATACTATTCTGATGCTCATTTTACGGGTGAAAAACAGAAGCTTAGAGAATTCAAGTAACTTGGCCAAGGTCAGGGCCAATCACGGTGAAGCTCAGGTTCAAACACAGATGACTGACTCACTCTACCAAACACAGGTGACTGATACCCTGACTTCGGTATCTACATTTCTCGCCGCATATTTCCACCTGGGTGTCTTAAAGGCATTTCAAATTCAGTGTGTCAAGAAGTATAAACTCTCTTATCTTCCTCCCTATACTTGCTTCTCCTACACTAGTTCCTATTCTTCTGATAAGCACCATCCACCAATCCAGAAAAGCCCACCAATCCCGGGGGGCATCCTAGCTGTCCCCTGTCCCTCACTCTGAATCTGACGCCTCTTGAATTTACTAGCTCTACTCCATCCCTCAGGTCAATACCTTGATGTGGGCCTTTTCATACCTTGCCTGGACTTCTGCAATAGTCTCCTCACTGGTATTCCAGCCATGGTTCCAGATCCCAACCAGTCCATCTAACATATTGCCAGATACCATTCTAAAAATGAAAGTCTGTCCATAATATGAAAGGCTGTCTAAGACCCTTCCATGAGCTCCCCCTACAAAGCTTTCATGACATGATCCAGACTCCTCATTTCTTTATAGTCTCTACACTGAGCTCTAGGTCAGTCATACCAAATAATCTGTACCCTGTAACTAGGCCATGGTTACGTCACAAGCCCCTGTACATGCTATTCCTTTCACCTAAACCACTCTTAGCTTCCTTCTTTTCCTATGAAAATTCTTACTTGTCTTCTAAGACGTAGCTAAACTTTTCCCTCCTCCAGGAAGCATTTCCTCAGCTTCGCAGGTAGAGCCAACCCTTCCTTCCTTGCTGTCTTCTGTGCCTCCCATTCAAACCTCTATTAAAGTCCTTATCACACCACTCAGCATTTATTTAGATATCTGTATCCCTTACCTGCCTGTTGGGCACCCCTTGAAAGCAGAGACAGGCCCTTATTCAATCTTGAATCCGTGGTGCCTACTCTGTGCCTGGGATCTAGTGAGGCACTGAACTGAGAACAGAGTGACGTTTTGGCTACGCAGACCCTGAAGCAGAAATCTTGTGTACCACGATCCCACTACTGGTCAGAGTTGTGTTTAGTCTTGAGAAGAGACTCTGTAGACCAAGAAAATCGATCCACCGCAGGACCACTCTTGATCTCCCTTCAGAGATGATTTTTACTAGAGGTGATTCCAGTAACAGAGATGAAAATGAATGTGACACAATGCCCCACCTGATAGTGATGATCTGCCCAATGCTCAAGTCCAAGCCATTCAGCTGTGCAATGAACACAGCTGCCACTGCTTCATAGAGTGCAGTCCCGTCCATGTTGATCGTAGCACCAACGGGTAACACAAATCTAGTGATCCTTTTGTCCACCTTGTTCTTTTCTTCAGCACAGCGGAAAGTGACAGGCAGTGTTGCAGAACTGTGTGATAAAAAGACAAAGGAACTTGCGGTTCAGAAATGCTGGTTCTCAGTCCCTACCTGAAGAGACACCTCTATTCCAAAAACGAAAGCAGAAGCCCAAAGCATGCTGGGACTTTTCACAGGTTCAGGAATCAGAAGGTGCTATGGTGGCCACCGCTCCAAGTTACAGCATAACCCTTTCCTGGGCTGCAGGCCACACCAGGAGGGCCGGAAATATCCCACAGGGTGAAGGACTATGTTCTAGAACACGGGCAGAAAATATGGAGATCATTTCTTTTTCTTTTTTTTTTTTTTTTTATTGATCTCAGAGAGAGGAAGGGAGGGAAAGAGAGAGAGAGAAACACAGATTGGTTGCCTCCCGCACGCACCCTGACTGGGACCAGGGTTTGAGCCTGCAACTGAGGTATGTGCTCTTGGCTGGAATCGAACCCAGGACCCTTCAGCCCGTGGGCCAACGCTCTAACTACTGAGCCAAACTGACAAGGGCAGACACCTTTTTTCTATTTACCTGGAAGAGATCATGAGAGCTGTCAGGAGAGCCTGCGCCATTCCCATGGCGAATCGGAAGGGGTTCTTTCTTACGACTATGAAATATATCAGCGGGAGGATTATAATGGAGTGGATTGCAAGCCTGTAAATGAGAGGAACAGGTTCACAGATGACACCACCTATTCATATTCATCGTTTTTCAAACAGCTTTTTTATTCACGTCATTCAACTTGAGTACTGACCCAATGAGAAGTAGGGCAGGAATATATGTCTCCAGTCCACATATGAGGATAAGGGGATTCATTCAGCAATGAGCTATCTTTTCAAAGTTAGTGGCAAAGCCAGTGGCTGAATCCACATTTCAGAGCTCACATAACAGTTACATCATGCTTCCAAGCCCTGTAAGTGCTGTTCCTGCTAAACGTGCCAAAATGCTTTCCCTTCCTGCAGCTGAATTCTTATTCCTCCTGTAAGGCTCAGTAAAACCTCCCCCTCCTTCAGGAAGCCTTCCCTCAACTTCCCGGGTCCTGCTGACCCTTCCCTCCTTGGTGACACTGTGCCCCACACAAACCTCTATTACAGCCCCTACCGCAGGCGGCAGCCACTGCTCCCTGGGCCCTACCGCTGTCTCGCTGGATGGTGCCCACTGTCTAAGAGGGGAGTGAGGAATGCAATAGGGAGGACGTCCCTGCTCTTCCACAGTCATACTTTGGGACGGACTCTCTTTGTTATTCCTGTCTTCCCAAACTATTCCTTGCCTCACCTGGAAATATATAGGTTACACAAAACGGGGCTCAGAAATGAGACCGATTCAGCAGATGCCATATGTGTGGCAACTTAGAATTTAAAGATCCATTATGTGAAGCTGAAATAATAAGTGGTGATTGAAAAATACAGCTCCTGGGGGTCCGGAAAAAGGGTTTACTGGATAGAGAGCTTGTGGCTAAGAAGTATGAGGAACTGACTTAGTTTTCTCTTAGAAACCTAGCTAGGATAAGATAACAGAAACCAGCAGAAACCTGTTTTGAAATGGCTCAGCATAATAAACCTCAGCCACATCATTGCATCAGTGCCTAGATGCAGCCCCTGGCCTCTAGTAAGTAGATGGTCCTGCTTCCCTTTGCACTAGGCTCTGGGGTTTGACTGACCCTCTCACTGTGTGAATCCAGGCTACTTCTCTGTTGGTCATTGGGCCATGCTTTTGGTAAACAGATTAGGTACCAAATGCTGTGCAGTGGAAACTACCCAATGCAATGGAGTTCTAATAGGTGAGTTGATTATTCAAGTTGGGTATTTGGGGGTACTGACCTGTGGGAGTCAAACTGATGATGTTTACTCATTTCTGTGGTCCATATTTCTCAGCACATGTGCTGTATCTCACCCTTGGCTAGATATCTGGGGGCATCATTTATAAACTATCAAGGAACCAATAACTGGGCTGTAATAAATATGCAGATGACCTGTCGCCTGCTGCCTTCCTGCTTTACACAATTCCTACCAGCCTGAAGATTTTCCCAGCATCTTCTCTGGCCCTGTGATGATGCAGGGGGTGAGAGTGGTTACCAGCCCCACCAATAGATTCCTGGAACCAACCAGCCATCCTGCTCCTTCTGGCTCAAGTCTGATTTTATTTAGGCCCTGCCTAATTTCTTTCAGGCTCAGGGTGCATAGGGATTATCCTACTTGCTTGGTTAGTTTATATCCTTGAGGAAGTGAAGGTCAGGAAAGAGCCAAGATTGGATACCAGTGCGTTTTGCTCTTGTTTTAAAAAATTATTTGAACACAACTAATAAAGGCAGTGACAAAGCCTGGTCCAGGCTGTTCTGCCAAGATCTGGCACTGAGAACAGTGCGATCCACCTCCAGTACAGCTGTTAAAGGGCAGCCCTCCCCCCACACCCGGCTCTCTTATCGCTGAACCCTGTTTTTCCCTGCACGTGGGAGAGAAGCCGATTTTAACCAACTGAAACCCAGCCTCTCATGAGCTCAAGTGAGGTTTGTTTCTTCTCTCGAGTCTGACATACCCAGTCAGGACGGTGGCCATGTAAAGGCCCAGCTTGCGGAATATTTCCCAGTCTTCAACTTCTATGATCTTTCCGGCAATCAGGAATAAAATACCCAACGGCATGTAACTAGAAAGTAAACACAACAAAGTCAGCAGGTGCTTTCTCAGGGTGGGGTTTTTGGGGAAGAAATAAGCCAGGACCTGCATCTCAGCTTTGCACCCACTTCCGCCTGAGAGGAGCACAGGGTACACAAGGAAGCTAAAGTCTCAGCTTTGTCTCAGTTCTAGGCCCTGGTGGACCACACTGGCTCCAGGTTTCAATACCTGTGTGCACCTTAAATTCTACCTACCTAAGCTACCATAACAGGACAAACTTGGCAAGAAGATATGGTTATTGTACATCTGAAACCTATATAATTTTATTAACCAATGTCACTCCAATACATTCAATAAAATAATAAGTAAATAAATAAATAAGAAGGTCTGGTTAAACTGTTGCAAATCCTACTCGTTTCCAGTACATATACATTCTACCGATTGTTGTATCTGAGATCTCATTTTAGCTTGATCTTCCAAATATGGTCACTAGGCTCTTTCTAGCCATGGTCACCTTGTTTCCCAGATGTAGTATCAGCAACAGAGCAAGAGTTAGTAGTAGAAGTGGTCATAATAGCTGTTCGTGGCGCTGTCATTACAGGCCTTGTGTTGGCTTAAGTATTTCACACGCATCAATTCCCTTAGTATACTTCTCCCAACCCTAGTGGGAGATTGTATTATCCTTTTTAATAGATGACGAAGCTGAGGTTCAGCGGGATTAAGTGACTGAAATAACTGAACCCTTTACGTCACTGTCAATGTCTACACTTTGGAGTAAGGAATGTTAAACCAACTCAATATGAGAGAAGCGGGACAGAGGCCTCGGAGGAAAGATGGACTTTCCCACATCTCTGGAGACACGGCAGATCCTCAAGCAGCTTTCGTTTGGATGAGCTAGTGTTCAGGCTGTACCTGTTGTATTTGAGTATCACCTCTGCATGGGGCCCACTAAGGAAAGTACTTTGTGTTTTGATGTGCAGGGAACTCCTTCCAGAGCTTCCTCTGATGTGAACGCTGGCTGGGCACAAGATGATCACGGGTTTCGGTAGAAAAGACAATGGCTGATACCTAGACTTTCGTTAGTGAACAAAAGGTAGTATGTGGAATGATTTAATACTCTAGTGCCTTAATATTCAGGATTCCCCCTCTCTAGTGTGAGTCAGTTGAAAAACATAAGATCCTTGGTTCTAATTCTGAGGGGACAGTTGTCAGGGGAAGCAAGATGGCATTAGAGGGCATTTGCTCACCACATAATGATCTGAATGATTTTCATGATTGAGTCACTCAGAGCATTGAAGAAATCCACCAGAATCTGTCCCTTTTCTCCCATTTTTCCAATGACAAGTCCAAAGACGAGGCAAAAGACAATCAAGCCAAGGACATTGATGCCATCGGAATACGTGCCTACAATTTTGTATTCCTTTGTTTCGTTCTGTGGACGGAAACCAAGAAAACATATTGATGCATCATTATAATCTTGCTGGAGTGCATAGGCATTGAAATGAGAAGATATAATAGCCAAACATAATAAACTAGTGATCTATCAGTCAGACTCAACAAAACTTTGGGGAATACAACTAAAAAAACCCCCCAAAACAAAACCCACCTATGCATGTATCATATTTTTACTGCCCCCACCCTTAGCCATTGACGTTTAAAGTGTTTCCCCCCCTTTCTCTCAACGAATCCATATTTGAATATTTCTTTTGAAGATTTCTTATTCTGGGATGTTTTACATTTTTAATAAGAACTTTAGAATCAAGGTATTTTTCAGGGTTATTTTAATGACTAGCTAACAATTGGAGGCTGTATAAAAAAGACAGGAATTAGTAATGCAGGAGATTTCAAGGTGGCAGTGGATTGAGTGGAAGTTTTTTTCTCTCTGTCTAAAATCAATAAAACATATTTAAAAAATAAAAAGAACAATTTTACTGCCTCTAATTTCGAACGACCAACAGGATTTTGGAGCTATAAGAGAAACACGAGCCAATGACAGCGAGATGGTGTGTAATTAACTACACAGCCAAGCTACGAGTTATAGGTGTCCTATGGAAACTGGGGACATAAATGAGGGCTGTGAGGTTAGGGAAAGCTAGGCCTGAGGAGCAGGCAGCCATGAGATGCAAACATACTCCTAAAAAATGGTAAGCAAAGGCAAAAGTCACCATGCACTGGAGCTCTGGACTCTGCCTGGATAATTCCTACCCATTCTTTGTGGCTCCCAAACTAATTTAAACCATCCTGCTGAATATCTCCAGCACTGTTCTTCCCTATTCTAATATTCATCACTCTCCACACGAGGGCAGACGCCACATCTGTCTTTTCACTATTGCAATCCGATGTTCAGCAGGGCTGGCTCAGGAACAGCACTCAGAAAATCCTTGTGGAACCACATCAAAAGGCAGGAGTACGGGGTACTGGAGGAGGTGGATCTGGAGGGATAAGTGAGCCCAGAAACGAGGGAGGAGACAGGGCCCATGAACCTGTCTGAGGATTGAAGGCTTTCTGCAGGAGGAAACAGGGAGCCAACAGAGGCCTAGTTCATTTGAATTCTTAAGTCTACTGAATATGTTTCTTTTTCTTAAATCTTTCCTTCCTGTGTGAACATTCAGGAAAAGTCTACTACAGGACTAAAAATGTACTACTTCAGGTCCACATATTCTAGCCTTCAATAGGGAAATCCCCAGTGCTCTCAAAGCTCATTGATTTTATCGATGAGTTTATGGCAAACTCTTGGTGGCAAAACCTATCCTGAACTGAGACGTGGCCACCTATGGTCTGTTTCTCTTACTCGACAGAATATTTCTAAGTTTGTTGCAAAAACATGGATGTGCTTGATTCTAGAGTGTTGTTGCCAACCCCATTAAAGGACAGTGTATAACATGTACACACACGACCTGGCCCATCTCACAAGAAAACTCTGACTCTCAATCACATCTGGGCAGAGAGTTTTGAATAAGAAATTGTGGGCCTGCATTCTGTGTTTACATAGTCATGCAAATCTAGAGCAGTTCCTAGAGGTGCCCACCTCAACTCTAAGTAGTGGCAGACATAGAGGCAACAGGGCTCATTCTTTTCTCTGTGTGGTTTAGTGGCTTCCATTCTTCTTCTTTTTTTCTTTTTTTTTTTTGGTTAATCCTCACCAGAGGATATTTTTCCATTGATTTTTAGAAAGAGTGGAAAGGAGAGAGGGAGAGGGAGAGAGAGAAACAGCAATGCGAGAGAGACACATCGATTATCAACTGGTTGCCTCCCACACACGCCCTGACTGGGGGTTGGGATGGAACCTGCAACCCAGGTGTGTGCCCTTGACTGGGAATCGAACCCATGACCCTCTGGTGCACGGGCCGACGCTCTAACCACTGAGAAACACTGGCCAGGGTGGCTTGTATTTATTCTTGGTAGTTAGGTTCTATAAAGTGGTCACCAACACTGACTTAGCAAATATTGAATCATTGTTTCTAGGGAAAATGTATGAGTAAGTTCCTGGGGCCCAATGTTCATAACATTTTTGTCAAATAATCAATACATGACCTTGCTTTATGCATGTTTCTGTTCACAGGCACCTTACTGAATATTTGTTGATTCATTAACACTGAACTCACAACCAACACACTAACTCACGCCTGGCTGAAGTTTATCTAACATGCTGTACTCTCTGCAAGGCACATCCCGGCCTTCCCGTATTTAGGAACCATGGCCAGCACTTCAGCACTACGGCCGGGGGATATTTTAAATAGTGAAATTACCACAAAAAGTACAAAACTGTGCAAAGTGTGGCATAAGCACACCATGAAAGGACACTTGTTTATAGTATGAGAGCTGAAACAAAAAGGCAGAGCATAGCTGTGTTTAGCCTCAGCAGGGGGCATATGTGCACTGGGCGGGCGCCTTAGGTTTTCACCTCTCCGCACATGTCTGCGAATGACACGGAAGCACCTGAGTGTTGACTTTGGATTTGCAAATACATTTTAGTGAGTAGGCGAATCCACAAATGAGGAATGCGTGAATAATGAGGGCTGACTGTACTTCCCTCTCCTGCTCGCTCCCAGCTCAGCCCTGCCTACTGGGGAGCGTGCGGGCAAAAAGAAAGGGAGCGGTACCTTGGAAACAGCAGTTGTCATGACAGCTGTGACAGATGCTTCCGTCACATGCATCCCGGGCTCGCTGGGAGGCTCTACTTCTTTACGCATGGTTTTATACTGCACGTTGGAGGGGAAAAGAAGACAAAGAAACAAAAGAAGAGTTTTTTAAGCCTCTGAAGCTAAATCACAGGAATACGGTTACTTTGGGCAAACAAGTACACTGAGAGGTTCTACCTCCAATGCCTCTGTTGGCTCCAGGTGTGGACAGAACCTCCTATGAGGCTTTGGAACCAAAAGTGGAATTGAGAAATCCAAACCACCGCCTCCCACGGCCACCATTCAATGACGTCGAAAGGGTCTCTCGCTCTCATAATAAAGGATTAATTAATGGAGCAACAGTGTGAAAGAAAGTATAGGTTTTATTTGTAGGCACTTTAACAGACAGACTCTACAGGAATCCTGTCCATCCCTCATTCATTCATTTATTTATATTATTTTTTAACCTGGGAGAAACCTCATCACTTTGATAAATGCAGTCACTGTGACTTTAATAAACATCAGCAACTGTGTGGCTGTTCCAAAACCAATAGTCCTTTTAAGGCAATTACATGAGATTTCTGTTGAACCCCTTCCTTCAGCCCCATCTGGCTCTGTGGAGCTTCAGCAGAGAGGCTGAAGAGAGAGCTCGTATACATTACACCAGGCATAGATGTCACTCCTATGAGGCTCTGCCAACGCCAAGAACCTTACAAACGACCACTGTGGCTGAACCGCAAAGGCACCCCTGAAATAGAGGTAGTTCTATGCTGCTTGGAGGTCGGCAGCGAGCCATTTAGTTGCCATTTCTGTTGGTATACACAGGGGTCTCTGTTCATATAATTTATGTAAATCAATTCAGCAGTTTGTGATAGACTCAGCTGTCTAAGTCCACAGACAAACAAGAGAAAAAGACTTGAAGAAAATGGAGTAAAGAGATTTTTAAACTTTCCTAGAGGAAAAAAATCATGGCTTTGTTACATTGCTCCTTAGAGGGCTGGCCGTGGGGGCAGAATGATTCAGGAAAAGACCAACTACCAGGAACAGCAGCCGCCCTGTGGGTCAGACACTGATCTGCCCATGGGAGTGAGAGGAGACGGAGGGCTACGTTTTCACCACATGGCATCTGCTGACAGTCTAAATTTGTTCTCAGATATAATGTGGTTCTCCAAAACTAGGTACTAGAAGCCATGCTCTAAAACATTCATTATTTGACCGTTTTCTGACTTGCTCCATCTGAGCCCTTTTGGGGGAAAAAGCGTAAAGGAAAAGGGCGCAGAATAAGCTACAACTGGCACTTGCCTCACTGTGACCGGAAAGGCCAGGGATACAGAACAGAGGAGTCACCTGAAATTCCTCCACTCATGGGTACATTTCCTGCCATTTTAAAAAAAGTCCTCACCCAAGGTATTTTTTTCCCATTGATTTTTAGAGAGAGTGGAAGGGAGGGGGGAGAGAGAAAGAAAGAGAGAGAGAGATTGAGATTTATGTGAGAGAGACACATCGATTGGTTGCTTCCCACACGAGCCCCTATTGCTGGGCTGGGGATTGAACCTGCAACCCAGGTACATGCCCTTGACTAGGGAATCGAACCTGTGACTCTTTGGTGTGCGGGCCAATGCTCTAACCACTGAGCCACACTGGCCAGGGTGTCCTGCCATCTTTGATGGGATAATTCCATTTGTTGGGTGACAGCAGGAAAAAAACCCCTTAATTGGTACTGGGAAGAGCGGAGCAATGTGGGCAAAAGTCAATATTATTACCTGCTGAAAACAGGCTTGGACAAGGTTTTCAGGGAACATATTCCTGTTGGAGACATGAAAAGCAGTATTATGTTGAGGCAAAAGTGTTTTGTTTTGTTTGTCATACCCAATACATTGATGGAAATGAGTGTAACATAGAATTAGTACTCTGGTTTCTCTTCTGGCTTCTTTGCATAATACTTCCTTGTAGTAAGATTTATTTTTCCCTAAGCTTCAACCAATCAACTGTTCCTTACCTGATTCACTGAGTAACCGATACACATGCTGTCCTGGGTGAAACACCCCACTGGCAGGTAGACACAGTTAAGAGACTTCTTTAATATTCTGCACATTTCTGTTTTCATCAATGAGAATGTATGCTTACCAAGAGTCATTGCACTTCTTCCCAAGTTCTTTATGCCAATTGCAAATATTGTAATTACTGAATTAAAAATTATGTAAATCAATGAAATATGAGTGTGAAAAGGAAGGTATGGTTTCTATAAAAACTAAGCCAAATGCCTGGGAACTCAATTGACAAGTGACTACAATTTCTGTGGTTAAATTACGTATGGGAAGCCAACTGAAATAAAAAGAAAAACTGGAAGGATTTGGCACTAAGCTTTCTTTGCAATTTCTAAGGATTTTGTTGCTCCGCTTCATGGAAATTCCAGATAATGCATTTCTGTTGCATTCTGCAGCCTAAGCAACAGACACGACAGGAAATTACAATCAACTGACACACTCGGAGAAGAGACCCTGATCCAACATTAAAAAATTGGCAAATAAATACATTTAAGTGTAAACAAAATATGTAATGCATCTCTATTGTTTTTTATGATTCTTTTTAATTGCTATTTATTAACTAACCAATTTCCAGCCCTGATTGATTCAGATTAAGACGGTTTTTCTTCTACAATTAAAAAAATGTATTTCTTCAAATGTGCTTCAGAACTGACTACCCAGCCCAGCATCTTAATGCAGTAAGTATACTTTCTGCATCTCTGTCCATCCTAAATCCTGACAGAGGAGCTTATTCCTTCCATATCCTCTTGGAACCATGACCTGGTAAGCAGGACTGGCTATGTAATTTGCAGGGCCCAGGGCAAAATGAAAATGCACAATAATTTAAAAATTATTAAAAATTTCAAGATGACAAGAGCAGATCATTAAACCAAGCATAGGGCCCTGTGTGGCCACATAGGTCAAATGCCAATGAAGCCACCCTGCTGGCAAGACACTCACCTGATCAGGTCTAACATGGCGTCTACTGTACTGACTTCAGGGCTGCTGCCTTTCCTGTCAATTTCATCCACTTTCTGGGTGACACCAGGCTTGATGCTCACCACCAGCACGATACCTGTGGCCAAGGACAGCACCCACAGAGCAGTGAGACCCTTCCAGGGCACCTGGCACCCCCAGTGCATCCTTCTTTGGACTAGTGGGCACGGGGGCCTCAGGGTCCTGCCAAAATGCTGAATTCCAGCAGCAACCTCAGCAGCAGCCTTAATTACTTTTCCATTTAAATAAAGCAGAAGAAACTCTTCCTGTGTTTTTTTTTTTTTTTTTTTTTTTAATGAAGCGGCTATACTCCAGAATTGCTTCTGGAGACACCTGCTGATGAGAATGCTCTTATTCTTTCCTTTAGCTTATGAGGTCAACCTAGCCAGGGGTTGGTGCGAGGCCACTTGTTCAATAACTTCCTGCAACTTTTACCCACAGGTACTGGCTATTTTCCTGAGGGCCACACAGAACAAGCCTTATCTTCCTTCCATACCACAAGCCTTCAAATATCTGGAAAGCTGTTGTGTAATTGAAAAAAGGGTTAAGGTTGAGAACAGTGTTGTTCCATGTGACTGTCAGGGGTGGAACACGGAAAAAAATAGGCAGGAGTTACAGGGAGATAGTTCTCACGGTGGGAACTATCTGTCTAAACAGAGAGCGTCTGAAAGCACCGTTTTTGCCTTTGGAGGTAATGGGTTCCTGTCACTTGAGTGTCCAAGCAGAGATGGGAGGTTGTAGAAGAGGCTGAGGCACCAGAGGTTGTTGGACTGGAGGGGAGTGAGGAAGAAAATAGTCCCCATGTCCTTCACCGCTCCTCCCCGGGGGAGATGCCAATCCAAAGGGGCAGGACTTTAAGGGTGCTGAGTCGGTCAGTTTTGCTAGTGGGGGAGTCACTGGGCCACAGAAGGGCCATGAGCAGCCGTGGTCCACTCTACCCTCTCAGGGTAGCAGAAAAGATACACACCCAGCTTTTTTCTTTGCGTTGGCCTCTCTCAGGAACCTCATGAGGAGATGTGGCTTTGGTTTAAGGCCCTCCTGGTGTAATAACTCTAAAACCTCACCACCTCTCCTCAGTTCATTAAAGCAGAGCTGCGAGGGTCAAGCTGGCTGCCTCTGAGCACATTCCCTTCCTCTCTTCCCATTTTGGGCATCCTTAAAATATCACGCTAGGTCACAAAGGGTGGACCATACTTTCTTCACAAAAGAATGCCAAAGGTATAAGAGCAGCTATATCCCCTTAGAGCTTTCTCCCTCTTTCAAGTGGAATTTATACTTGGCAAGCCTCAGCCATTAGCTCTCAGTACTATGTGAAACTTGAAATGCACTCAAATATATTATATTTTCTTCATATAAAAGGTGCCGTATAGGCTTCAAGCCAAAAAGTTTCATGATAGCCTAACAATACTGCTTTCTGATTAGAAAAAAAAAGTGCATTATAAAAAGCCTAACCACTTTTAAATAGAAAATAAGTCACATAGAGGAATAAGGGTTCAGCAATAAACTTTACCTAGAATGACAGCAATGACAGTGGTACAGAAATAATATAAGACAGCACGCAGCCCAATTTTTCCGGATACATTGGAATCCAGCGCAGCGACACCTGAAAGGGGGGAGAAGTCAAACTGCATTACTTTTTAAAAGGCTGATTTCCAGAACTAGTGGTGATTCAATCCTGAAGGTGTGAAATAAAGAGCTGAGAGATGTCGCTCGATCTGCTAGGTCTATTGCACTCCTTTGGATAAGATACAAAGGGCGAAAAAAAGCAAAATTCCAAACACAGATTTCAGAGATGGGAGCCTAGCGAGAGGCAAGTTCCCCTTCTTGGCAAACTCACCGCCACCACCCACAGTGGGCACTGTGCCTTTGGCCCCTCTTGGGGTGTGGTCACAAGACACGGTCAGGAGTCCCCCTTCTGCATTTGCTCTGAGAGCTTTATCAAGATTTGTACGTTACATCACTCAACATCTTTTTGGAATTCAGTATCAAGGAAAAGTGTATTCTGAAGAACTGAGATAATTCTTTCATCACATAATGAAAGTCATATAACCCCTTCTGCCTTTTGTCAGGAAGCTCAGCATCAACTAAAAAGATAACTTTTGCATGTGCTTATAAAAGTAACATTTGTTCATAAGTTATCTAAAAAAAAAGAGAACAATATAAAGAAAAGAAAAATAACTTTAGCTCATCAGCCATAGTTAATATTCTGGTGAATTACATTCCAATAATTTTTTTCTCAATTTTTTGTAAACATAGCTGAGATAATTGTATAGTTTTTTAATCCTCTCTCTTCCTAATACTGTATTATAAGCATTTTTCCTTATTATTATAAATTCACCCTGAGGATAATTTTAAAGGCTGTGTATTTAATCATCCACTTACTGCTAGATCTTGAGGTAGTCTCAAGGCCAAATCAATAATAAATCACAGTGATTTCATTAACCATCCTGGCTAGCATATTTCCTTCTTCTTTTAATGATTTTCAAACTGCTTCTGTGTTAATTTTATTGTGTATGGCTTTGATTGTGACACACCAAACATTTCCGTTTTATTTTTTAAAATGTTTTTATTGATGTTGAGAGAGAAAGGGAGAGAGAGAAACGAGAGGGAGAAACATCGATTGGCTGCCTCCTGCACCACCCCCACTGGGGATCAAGCCTGCAACCCGGGCATGTGCCCTGATCTGGAACGGAACTGCGACCCCTCAGTGCATGGGACTATGCTCAACTAACTGAGCCATACCGGCCAGAGCTAAAAATTTCCATTTTATAGAGGCAGGAAATAAATAAAAATTTCTGAGAGCACAGGTGACTTAAGAGATGTATGGCCACATTGTTAGATGGAGTTTTAAATGGTCTTTAATGCCAATAAATTATTGAATGTTGCCTGGACTTGCAAGGGTTTCTAGAATGCTAAGGATAGCTGCAGAGGTGGAAGGCATGCACCCCTCCTCGCTAGAAGGCCTTGCCCTCCATCAAAGACATTCGTATAAATGGAGTCAGTGATGCAGCTCTCTACTCAGACGGCTTCTCTGTGGGACACGGGGCAAGTGGAGAAGCAGCCAAACCATCTTTCAGCAACCTGTCACTTGGAGGTTCCAGACTACCCTGCCTGGTTTCCAAAAAGAGAGTCACATTCTGACTCAAATCATGACCAAAGAAAATGATTTTTTGAGCCTACAACACGCATGAGTTGTGCCATACTGTTTGCAAAACCTGAAGTACAGGACGGCAGGAAAAATGAAGAGGTTGTCACGAAGCAGCCCCAGGGAAAAGGTAGTAAACCTGTAGGCTATCAACTCGACAAGTAGCTTTTATATTCACTCCCCACACTATAAAAGGCCTGTCCATTTTTTAAGTGACTGGAAGATTATGCTCCTCACATATAATTGAACATATTTAATACAGGAAAAACCTATAAGGAAGCTATCACCTCTCACTCTAAACACATCACTCCTCTGGCTGTTGACTGCTTCTTTGGAAGGTAATATTTTGAGAGAAGGGGCTCTGGCTTCTTTAACAGCCACCCCAGGCTACTGTTAAGGGCCCATTCACCAACCTCTGGGACAAGGTTGTGCAATGGCCATATATATGTACAATGGGCATATTGCAACGGTCACATCCTGGAATAACCATGATAATAGATGCTATTCTCTTTCTTTGGGAAAAATGCAGTTTGGTGTGCTCAGAAGACTTTCTTTTCTTAATGGTAAGACAACGAAGAATAACAATTCTGCAAGAAACAACTACGACAACAAATTAAGAGACACTGAAGGCCACAATTCAGAAAAAACTGGACTATTTCATATTTAGTTTTGGTCTCTTAAAAAAAGAGCAAACAATAATGCAAACATAGAAGTTTGCTAAGTATATTACAGGACTACAAAATGTGCCCATTCCAATTTAGAGCTCTGTACATTATTCTGATAAACAATCATAACAATTATTTATAACAATAAGTAGGTTAAAAAAACAAGAAAATCAAATTAACAGAACTGAGTCACCTGTATAAGTGCCTGTATCCCTGACCTAACAGAAGATGTATTTTCAGAAATATTGGTCCTTGTCAGATGTACAATTTAGGCAGCTTCTAGCTCCTAAGATGCTGATAAGTGAAAGGCTCACAGGGTGGTTGCAGAACTGTTCTAGGGTACGTATTTCATGTCCTCTCAGGATTTTCTTCCAGCAGTGAAACAAATTAAATCTACGTGGGGAACTGTTTCTAGCATATGTTAGTATGTCTAAATTTGTCTTAATGATTTGGCCAAGGGCTGGTGCCTCTGCTATTCCAGGACCCACCTGCCAATAAAAGGCAGAAACAACAACAAATCTCATACTAATGAGATTCTTGGTGGAAATATTTTAAACAAATACATACCCCAAAGCAATCAGACACCTCTTCCCTGCTGGAGTATAGCAATTACCTTGCAGCTATGTTCAGGAAGGGCTTTGTTTTCCATTCCTCAAATTTACCTTAGTCCTACAATTCTCCTGGACATATCAGAAATGTATTCAAATCAATAATGTACTTCTCCACCTCTCTAGAGTTGCCCTCTACCTCCCCAGTCATCTCTAATTGAGGGCAGAGCTGGCTCCAAATCCAAGCTTTTGGACAATTTATAACGGGATGTTGAGAATAGGGGCAGTGACCGTCAGAGAGGGAAAGAACATATGCAGGGAAACAGCCTAATCTTTGAAAACCTCTATAATAGGAACATTACTGAACTTAACTTGAATATAAAAAGCCTGTGTGGATGGCAGAAACACCCCAGCTGCCAATAATAACAATGATGGTGAGGATCATCATACACTGATGGTGATAAGAATGACATCAGACACTGTATTGAGCAGCGACAACGCTGAGTGCATTGCCTTTAATTCTCCTATAACCCTGTGAGGTCAGGCATTCTTCTTCCCATTTTATAGAAGAGAAAGCTGTGGCTCAGAAAGACTAAGTAACATGCCATGGTCCTACAGCTGGTGAATGATGAAGCCAGGATCCCAAACCCAAGTTTGACCCCAAAAGCCATGTTCTTAACACTGTGTCATACTGGCTCTATCCACATGCTACTAAGTTCTACTTCAGCGCTGCCCAATGGAATTTCCCGTGATGATGGACATGTCCTCTGTGCTGTCCACTGCGGTAGCCACGAGCCACAAGTGGCCAGTGAACCCCTGAAATGTGGCTAGTATGAATGAGAAACTGAATTTTAATTAACCTCCACTTAAACAGTCGCATGTGAGTGATGGCTACCATACTGGACAGCGTAATCTCTAGACTTCCCAGAGGGTCCAGCACTTAGTGGGTGCTCAACAACACTGAAAGAACAAACTCAAGCTTGACTCCATGACAAGGACCCCTCTCTGCTTTGCCAGCACAAAGGCAGGGGAGAGAATGCAGGTGGCCACCAGCTCCTGGTATGCGTTTCCATCTCTGCTCTGACCGTATTGCTCTAAGGCCTGAGGTGGCTTCTTCTCTGGTCCCCAGTGCACTCAATAAGGTGATCGGTGAGTTTTGTGCTCAATGCTTTCCACGTGAAGGGAAAGAGCTGCACTTTTTATGGGCAGTGTTCTTACAAAGTGAGCTCATTCCAAAGGTCCACACGTGTCTGAGATTCGGAACTCGGCAGGTAGTCTCCTTAGAAACCACAGGTACAGGCAGGTTGGTTTCCAGGGCGACCACCCATGACAGGCCTCCACGTGGGAACACGTTTGTTTAGCATCTCAGTGCTTCCCTCCCTCTTTTCACTATTGTGTACTCCACCCCACGCCCCACTTCCAGACAATTTTTTTCCTAATGGCCACCCCCATTAAATTTTAATACCACACACAAACTTTCCATGTATTTATGTACTAAATGTTCTCATGTACTTTTTACATAAAAGGAGTAAGTTTCTATCCCTTAATCCCCCAAACCAGCTCTGGTTGCCTTGGGAGCGACACTGCTCCTGTTGAGAATGTGTGGTCTAGTCTGAGGGATACTGTCATGTGAATGGTACCTTATAGGACATAGGACTCTGAAGGTGGTGCCCATCAGTTCCTCAGTCACACTAGTCACCTTCCAAGTGCTCAGCAGTCACTTGCAGGCTGTGTCTACTGCCATGGACAGCACAGGCAGAGAGACTGTATTGGGCAGGGCTGGTCTAGAAACTGAGCACGTGGGGAGAGCCAGTGTGACACAAGGGTTAGGAATATGACTCCCATCACTTACTGGGGACGGTCAGGTGACATGCCCACCTTAGTACCAAGTAGGTGAAACATCACCATGCGTTATCCTGGGGATTTACTCTCAACAGCAACCTGGTTTTCTTGTTTGCAGGCCTTGCCTTATGCCTGAGGAACCACCTCTCTGTATAGTCCACTCCCAGGCCTCCTTTCTTCTGGGACCTGATACTCTCCCTCTGAGAACTGAAGGAGAGGGGACTGTGCATTAAAATATTAACAAGCAGGTGTGACAGGATCAAAGGTAAATGTTCAAAACTGTTTACAGCAACCGGACAGTAATTTATGCTACTGAATATAATAAAAAATATGGCTGGCATTCTGTATGTCTTTGTGTTTATATCTTTTTCTGGTAATTCATTTTTATTATAGTTTACAAAGA